AATGCACAAATAAGTATGTACTATCTGGTTTGGAAATACAAACGGTGCGTCACTCAGCCCAATATAATTTTTTTCCTAATTTTCCATTATCATTTTCCTTTATTTTTTTAGCTCATCGTCCTCGCAGCCACTCTTGCTTTTGCAAGTGCTGGTGTGCTCGAACATCCTGCTCCAGTGGCTGCCTATGCTGCTGCTCCAGTCCATCATGCTGCTCCAGTAGCTGTCCACTCCAAAACAGTCTACTCTTCAGCTCCATCTGTATCCACAGTTTATACATCTCAACCAGCTCAAGTTGTACACAAGGAGGTGCAGACTTATGCTGCTGCTCCAGCTGTACATTACGCCCAACCTGCTGTTCACTATTCTCAACCTGCTCCAGTAGCTTATGCTCAACCACAATATGTTCAACAACAAGTACACTATGCTCAACCAGCTGTAGTTGCCAAGGAAGTACATGCTGCTCCAGTCGTTTCCAAGACTGTTCATTACCAACAACCTGCTGTACACTATGCTCAGCCTGCTCCAGTAGCTTATGCTCAACCAGCTGTAGTTACCAAGGAATTGCACGCTGCTCCAGTCGTGACCAAATACTCATCAGCAGCAGCTGTGTCTTCCAGCTACTCCCATGCTGTACATCCTGCTCCAGTTACCAAAACTGTCTACGCTCAAGCTCCAGTTGTTAAGAAGTACATGCTGCTCCAGCTGTCCACTACGCCCAACCTGCTCCAGTAGCTTATGCTCAAGCTGCTCCAGTCGTTGCCAAGGCTGTTCACTATGCTCAACCTGCTCCAGTAGCTTATGCTCAACCTGCTCCAGTAGCTTATGCCCAACCTGCTCCAGTAGCTTATGCTCATGCTGCTCCAGCAGTAGAAGTACACTCTAAGACTGTGTATGCTCAAGCCCCACAAGTTGTAACCAAGACTGTGCATGCTGCTCCAGCTGTACAATACGCCCAAACTTATGCTGCTCCAGCTGTTGCTAAGACTGTGGTATCTCACCAAGCTCCAGCTGTCCAATTACGCCCAAACCTACGCTGCTCCAGCTGTCCATTACGCTGCTCCAGCTGTAACCAAGACAGTAGTTTCTTCCCCAGCTGTCCATTACGCTGCTCCAGCTGTAACCAAGGCTCTAGTCGCCCCCCCAGCTGTCCATTACGCTGCTCCAGCTGCTGTAGCCAAGACAGTAGTTTCCTCCCCAGCTGTCCATTACTCTGCTCCAGTTGTGAAGACCGCCGTCGCCTACAGCCCTGCAGCAGCCGTGTCTCACTCCACTTTCCACGGCGCCCACGCCCAATACAACTGGTGAACAGTTGTAAAGGAGCAAGAGCAGGATGATTGCGACGGTGCCATCATTATTGAGGATCAACAAGTTTTCATATAGAGATATATCTATTTATTGTTAGTTACGACAAATCATTTTAAATAAAATTATAAAAAAATATTTGTTGTTATTGTGGAATCGATTTGTTTTACATAATTGGTGCCAAAATATTTTTGTGGAATTTGGACACATTGGGTAAAGTTATCATTCTTTGGTAACTATTTTTGTAATGTAATTACAAAAAAACTAATGCCAAATTTTTTTCTGTTTTACCGGAAAATTCTTGTCGTTGCATTGTCATGGCAACGCTATCTTAGGCTTGTTTCTCGTTAGTGAATATGTGGAAAAGTCTGCTTTATGATCAGTCGTATTTTACATATGAACAATCAAGGAAGAAATCTTTGATAATGCAGTTATCATAACAATTCTTCTTTGCTTGGTTATATGTAAAATGTTTTTCACAGTTTCACTTACAAGAAACAAGCATAAGATCCTTTTTTTGTGGAATTGGCCACTTTTAGCGGCAACTTGCAGAAAGTTATTGTTTTTTGATGTCTTTCATTGGAGTATTTCTTATTTTTATTATCTATTGAAAATATATTCCTAAATTTAAAAATTTGAATATGAAACTAATTCTGAAATTTTCAAAAACTGTGAAAATGTCTAAATTCTAACTTTTTAAAAATGATGCATTTTTTAAGAAGGTATGAAAGTTTTATATATAATATATCAAATTTTACTTTTTTTTTTTATAAAAAAAAAAACAATAAATGAAAATTACATTTAAATTAAAAATAATTAAAAATAAACTCCTAAATTTAAAGATATTTTAAAACTATTTGAAAATTGTAAAAATTTCTAAATTCAAATTTTTAAAATTATGTATTTTTTGTTCAATAAGAAGGGATTTTTCTATTTTTTGAAAAACATTAAATAAAAATTGCAATTAGATTTAAACTAATTCAAAATAAATACCTAAATGTCAAAATATTTTGAAAACAGCTCAAGTTTTCAAAATTGTAAAAATTTCAAAATCCAAATTTATAATTAAACAATTAATTTTTCTAAGTAAAACTTTCTAATTTTTAAAAACGATAAATAAAAATTACATTTTGATTTAAAATAATTGGAAATGAATTCCTAAATTTAAAAATTAGAATTCTAAACAAAATTTTCAATTTTCAAAAATTTCATAACTCAATTTTTTTTAAATTATGATTTTTTTAAGTAAGGAATGAAAAGTTCTATTTATAATAGTTTTTCTATTTAAAAAAACGATAAATAAAAATTACATTTTCAATTGCAAATAATTAAAAATTATTCTTATAATATATTAAATAATAATTAATAATTTAAAAATATTTTAAAAATTTGAATATAAGACAAACCGTTGTATTTTCAAAAAATGTCAAAACTCAAATTAAAAAAAAAATGATGAATTTTTTAAAGTGAAATGATATATTATAATGATTTTTCTAATTTTTTAAAATTACATTATGATTTAAAATAATGAAAACAAGAAAAAAAATCATTGAAAATTTATAATTAAAAAAATGTAAAAAAAATCCAAACGCCAAATTTAACATATTGAAGAATATATTAGAATTAATTTTAAAAATTTCAAATTTCAAATAACTAACTTTGAAAAAAATTTGAATACTTCAAAATTAATTAAAAATGAAAAAAATAATTTTATACATTTTTTTAAATTTTCAAAAATTTAGCGTTTATTTTTAAAGGATTTTTAGACACTTTTCGATTTTTAAAGGTTTTTTTTTGGGATTTTTGGGTCTCCTCCTTCTTGGTGATACGTCGTAATATGTAGAATTATCCATCTACCCCTCCAAACATCACGTGTATTTTTAGTTACTTAAACTTTTCCGAACGAATTTACGAAAAAAAGTAATTTTTTTGTTTTTTCCGGAAATTTGGATAAAAAATATATATACTTGATATCTTACTAGATCTTTCTTCAAAACGTAATTTTTCTGTCAAACAACCCCCGTCCTCCCTTAAAAGTCTCGCGTCAATAATTACAAACTTATGCAATATTTACAAAAAAATATAGGCATTATTAAACAATTAATTTTGTTTTCCAGAAACAAATCCGCAAACTAAAGAAATAAACTAAGTGGATAACATAACTTACCTTCGAACGCACTCAACATACATCGCTCTCTTATCTTATTCTTGACAAGAGCCTGAAATAATATCTATTATTATTGATTACGGCTTGCTTATTAATAAATAAATAAATAAATAAATAATTAAATATTGTATGTTAAAAAAAACAGGCTTATCCACTATTAACTATTTTTTTAAACCTGTCAATCACATATTCAAACTAAACAAAAAACTAGAACTGGTTCGAAATGAAAGTGAAACCGCCATTCAGTCGGTCAATTACCATTTTGGATAATTTCGGGCGGTGGCAACGGCACCGCCGTTTCCGATTACCATAAAGTGACAGACAAACGAACATTTAGATGAAATAAAAAACTAGATCCAGATCTATCTTAATGCTAAATGTTGATTGTTGAATTTTATTATGAGAGATCTTGTCGGAGTAAGGTAGATAGACAGAGAGCTGGTGGTCATGTACGGCTTGAAGGAAAAGATAATTGTGGAGTCAATTCGCCACTGGGCGTATCTACTAATTTGTAAACAATCAATTGTAAACACTTGTCAGCATTCTCTGCTAAATATAATTATTTTTATAGATTGCAGAATGAAAATAAAATTAAAAAAAAAATCTCGGATGAAATAGGAATTTGTGGTAATGCTATGTTACGGGTCTATATTCGTATGAGTTGGTAGTAACAGATTGTCTGAACGATATTTATTTGCTATTTTGATTTTATCCTAAAATTGGAACCATAATTTTCAATAACTAGTAGTGCATGGTATCGTGCCTTAAGACAACTTTCCGTACGTACCGCAATTTAAAATATTCAAAAGGAAAGACAAATTAGATTTTATTTGATAATTTTGATTTTTTTTTCAAACATTTTGAAAACATTTGAAATATTTGATTTTTGAAAAAAAAATTGATAAGTTGCTTTCTTTGAAAATTATTTTTAAGTTTATAAATTATTCGTAAACTTAGAAATTAAATAATTTTTTTTTCGAAAGTTGAAAGAAAATTCTAAAGAAACTCAGAAAATTCTGAAGAGACTCTAAAAATTCTGAAGAGACTCTGAAAATTCTAAAGTGATTATTCTAAAGTGAAAATATTAAAGTGAAAATTATAAAGTAAAAATTCTAAAGTGTTTTCTAAAGTGAAAATTCTAAAGTGAAAATTTGGAAGTGTTTTCTACAGTGTAAATTCTAAAGTGAAAATTTTAAACTGTTTTCTAAAGTGAAAATTCTAAAGTGAAAATATTAAAGTGAAAATTTTGAAGTGTTTTCTGAAGTAAAAATTGTAAAGTGAAAATTCTAAAGTGAAAATTCCAAAGTGAAAATTCTAAAGTAAAAGTTCTAAAGTGAAAAATCTAAAGTAACAATTCTGAATTGAAAATTCTGAAGTAAAAATTCTGAAGTAAAAAGAGACTCTGAAAATTCTAAAGAGACTCTGAAAATTCTAAAGAAACTCTGAAATTTCTATAAAAAACTCAAAAAAATCTAAACAAACCCTAAAACTATTTATTAAACTTATTTCCAACCGCCAAATGGTATTTTTTTTACTTTTTTTCCTGGATATTTAAAACCGCTAGAGCTGCCTTTGGCAAAAACCTGATAAATTCTTCATTACATTAATACAAGCAAAATGTTTTTTGAATCATTCAAATCGGATACTCAGTTCTCTCAAAAACTCGATTTCTATTTTCCGCACTCTTTGCTCCGTATCTCCGTAATGGCTGAATCTGCTTTTGCCAAAAACTAATCATCAATAGGAATCAAATGTTTTTTGAATCACTCAAATCGGTTTCTCCGTGGACCTGAAATCGTGGACAAAAATTTGTATCCGCACACATATACATCCGTCTATAGAAATGAAGAAATGAAAGAACTATAACCTGAACAAAAACGTTTCGTGCATCTATTTACTATATCCGTTGTAACTTTCAAACTATTTATTTGATTTAAATGAAATATTCACCAAATTGGATGAATGGTAATATATATGTATACATATATATATATATATATATATATATATATATATATATATATATAATCACCAAGAGTCTATTAACCCATTTAGACTAGAACAAATGCATTTAGCGATCTAGTTTGACTACTATTAAAAGTGCAAAATGCAAATTTCTTGCCCACTCTTGTTTTTTTTTACTTAAAGACAGATTCGCCAAATTTATTTTCGCCAAAAAAAAAAATTAGTATATATATCGATACGATCAAATTGATTTTATCATTCGATCAGTTTCAATTATTCAGAACAATTCGAAATGGCTTTTAAGGTAAAATTAATAATAATAATTAATATTAATAATAATAATAATATTAATAATAATAATAATAATTATTATTATTATTATTATTATTAAATTAATAATAATTTGCATTTGTTTGGTTTTGTTTGAATTGTAAGTTAAGTGGTTTGTGTATTTGCTAGTGAATTAGTCGTGACATCCAGTGTTAATACGAGGAATCAATATTATAGTTTATATATAGTTTTAGATTTCATTACGATTTTAAAGTACACCGAGTTGTTATAGGTCATTATGATGTTAGACAATATTGTAGATAATTTAATTCTGAACAAATTTCTTATACACATCATTTGTACTCATCGAACGGTTTAAGATTTATAAAGGATATAAGCAATGAATGATAAAGGATATATATTTATATTAGTACTCTTAGCATAGACTGTCTATATTCCGAAGCGATTTTAAAGTATACCAAGTTGATGTAGGTCATTTTGATGTTAGACAATATTATAGATAATTCAATTCTGAACAAATTTCTTATACACATCATTTATGTCCATTAAACGGTTTAAAATATATAAACGATATAAATGACAAATTTTCTGTGTGCCTCGAATAAATTTCTAATTTCAATATTAATTTTGAAGTATACCGAGTTGCCATAAGGTCCTACAATATTTGACAACTTTATAAATACTTAAATTTTGCACAAATTTTCTAAACGCACCATCAATATTAATCGAATTGTTCAGAAGTTACAAGAGATGCATTTAACAAATGCACTGTCAATACAACTGGCATTAATTATAATTTTCAATGGCGATTTTAAAGTATACGGAGTTGCTTTAGGGCTCTATAATATTACACAATGTTGTAGACAATTTAATTTAGTACAAATTTGCTGAATATTTCATTTGAATCGGATAAATAGTTTAAAAGTTACAACGGATTTAGTAAATAAATGCACCAAAAATTTTTGTTCAGGTTATAGTTCTTTTCGCTGCCGCTCTTGCCGTCGCAAGCGCTGGTGTGCTCGAAGCTCCTGCTCCAGTAGCTTATGCTGCTCACACATACGCTGCTCCAGCTGTACACTCTTACGCAGCTCCAGCTGTAGTAGCACACTCAGCTCCAGTTGTACAAACTTATGCTGCTCCAGCAGTCCACACCTATGCTGCTCCAGCTGTACACACTTATGCTGCTCCAGCAGTCCACACTTATGCTGCTCCAGCTTTGAAAACCCTAGCCGTACCTGCTGTCTCTAAATCAGTCTCAAGCAGCTACACAGTTCACTCAGGATCAGCAGTACATGCTTACGCTGCTGCTCCAGCTGTTGTCGCTCATTCTGCTCCAGCTGTAGTTGCACACTCTGCTCCAGTAGTACAATCTTATGCTGCTCCAGTAGTACAATCCTATGCTGCTCCAGTAGTGCAATCTTATGCTGCTCCAGCTGTCCACACCTATGCCGCTCCTGCTTTGAAAACTGTAGCTTCTTATGCTCCAGCTCATGTGAGCTATGCTGCTCCAGCAGTCGCCAAGACTGTCTACGCTTCTGCTCCATCTGTTTCAAGCAGCTACTCTTCGACTGTGCACTCCACTCCAGTTGTACACAAATATGCTGCTCCAGCAGTCGTAGCACACTCTGCTCCAGCAGTACACAAATATGCTGCTCCAGCTGTTGTTGCTCACTCTGCTCCAGTAGTACAAACTTATGCTGCTCCAGCTGTCCACACATACGCTGCTCCAGCTTTGAAAACTTTCGCTGCTCCAGCTTTAAAGACTTTTGCTGCTCCAGCTGTTTATTCTTCTGCTCCAGCTGTTTATTCTTCTGCTCCAGTAGTCAGCGCCTATGCTCCAGCTCATGTACAAACTTATGCTGCTCCAGCAGTCAAAACAGTTGCTTACGGACCTGCTCCAGCTTGGTAAAAGGGACTCGACTGAATCATCGCACATTTATTTAAAATTTTGTAAACAAATTATTTATTTAAATCCGAATAAAACAATATCTATATAAATATTTATTTTTTTGTGGCGAATGTTGACGTGTCCGGACCTCCTGATCATTGGTATATAGTTGGTTGATGGTTTCTGGGGAACGGCTGAACCGATTTGAATGATTCAAATCTAAAACTGCGACAAAATAATGTATTGTTCATGCACGTTTAAATTATTTGCTGGTGGTTTTTTAGACAACTGTTGAACCGATTTTAATGATTGAAAAAAAACATTCGATTGGTATGAACAGTGTAATTAAGTTACTAGTTTTTAAGAAAGACAGGTCCAACAGTTTCGGAAATACAAAGCTAAAACTGCGAAAAAATAATGTAATGCTCATGCATTACGAAATGGTTTGCTGACATTTTCTAAACAACGGCTGAACCGATTTGAATGATTCAAAACACATTTGATATGTATATACCGTGTAATTAGGTTACTAGTTTTTAAGAAAGACAAGTTCAAGGGTTTCGGAGATATAAGGCTAAAACTGCGATAAAATTATGTATTACTTATGCACATTTAAATTGTTTACAGTTGTTTTTTTAGACAACGGCTGTGCCGATTACAAAGATTAAAAAAACATTCGATTAGTATGAACATTTTAATTGGGTTACTAGTTTTGGGGAAAGCAGGTCCAAGGGTTACGGAGATATAAAGCTAAAAAAAAAGCTGCGACAAAAAAATGTATTGATCATGCACGTCGAAATGGTTTGCTGCCATTTTTTAAAGAACTGCTTAACCGATTTGAATGATTCAAAACACATTTGATACGTATATACGGTGTAATTAGGTTACTAGATTTTAAGAAAGGCAGGTCCAAGGGTTTCGGAGATACAAAGCAAAAACTACGAAATAATATTTTGACTGTGCGCGTTGAAATGGTTTGCTGACATTTTCTAAAGAACTGCTCAACCGATTACATACATTCGACTGGTATTAACAGTATTATTAGGTTACTAGTATTAAGAAGGCAGGTCTAGCGGTTTCGGAGATACAAAGCTAAAACTGCGTGAAAACAATGTATTGATCATGCACATTTTAATATGTTGACAGGTATTTTTTAGACAACGGCTCAACCGATTTTAATGATTCAAAAAACAATCGATACGTATTGACGGTGTTAATAGGTTACAAGATCTTGGGAAAAGCAGGTCTAAGGTTTCGGAGATAAAAAGCTAGAACTGCGAAAAAATAATGTATTGATCATGCACTACGAAATGGTTTGCTGTCATTTTCTAAAGAACTGCTGAACCGATTTGAGTGATTCAAAACACATTTGAAAAATACAGACGATATGAAGCATTTATGAGTTTTTGGATAAAGCAGGTCCAGCGGTTTCAGAGATGCAAAAGCTAAACTTGCGTGAAAACAATGTATTGATCATGCACGTTTAAATGTTTGCAGAGTTTTTAGATCAACGGCTTAACCGATTTGAATGATACAAAAAACATTGTGTAGTAAAGACTATGTGAAGCGTTTGTGAGTTTTTGGATAAAGCAAGTCCATCTGGTTTTGGAGATTGAGCGCAAAAACTGCAGAATACTAATATTCAAATTTCAGTCGAGATATTTTGCTAGCATTTTCTAAAGAACGGCTCAACCGATTTGAATGATTCAAAACACATTAGATACGTATAGAAATACTATATGAAACATTTGTGAGTTTTTGGTTAAAGCAGATCCTCCTAGTTTTGGAGATTGAGTTTAGGGTCGTCGAGATGTTTTGCTAGCATTTTCCAAAGAACGGCTCAACCGATTTGAATGATTCAAAAAACATTGTGTTGATAAAGACGTCGTGAAACGTTTGTGAGTTATGGGAAAAAGTAAGTTTTGCGGTTTCGGAAGTGCGTACCAAAAAGTACAAATTCTCGTGGTAAATGTTATCATAACATTCTTCTTTGCTTGTTCATGTGTAAAATGCGCCTGATCGCACAGCAAATGTATAAACATTTTGTCATATTTTCTAACAAAAAACAAGCATAAGAAAGCGTTGTCATGACAACGCTAATTTATGAGCCAGGGATTTACTTTACTAATACATACATACTGGGATTTACTTTACTAATACATATTTTTTAAAAATCAAACAAAATCAAAACTTTTATTCAATTTATTAAATTCTCATCCCTTACAAAATAATCCCTCAAACCCTTATAACATATGTAACAAGCGCCTCGATAGACATAGCAGATCCCTTCAAATTCCTCAAGCTCTTCCCACAAATTTGTCTTGAGGCACGATGCTATACACCACTAGTTTTATGATATTTTAACAAATTTAAGTGTCTTATATTATTATTATTATTATTATTATTATTATATTATCAAGCAACGAATAATGTTATGATAACAGAATTCTAGTTGGTGCACTTATAATAACATTCTTTCTTGCTTGTTTATATATAAAATACGCCTAATCGCACGGCAAATAGATAGACATTTTCATACCACGAAGCGTTGCCATGACAATGCCAGGTATTTACTTTACTTATACATATTTTTTAAAAATCAAACAACCTCAAACTTTTATACAATTTATTCAATTTTCATCCCTTACAAAATAATTTCTCAAACCCTTATAACATTTGTAACAAGCAAATATATAAACATTTTCACACCACGAAGCAAGCATAAGAAAGCGTTGCCATGACAACACTATTTATGTGCCAAGTATTTACTTTACTTATGCATCTTTTTTAAAAATCAAACAACCTCAAACTTTTATTCAATTTATTCAAATTCTCATCCCTTACAAAATTAATCCCTCAAACCCTTATAACATCTGTAACAAGCGCCTCGATAGACATAGCAGATCCCTTCAAACTCTTCCCACAAATCTTCTTCTCATCATCCTCGACTTCTATCGCAAAAGTGTCACCAATCCCTCCAATTATTGCTGGAACTTCCTGAGGACCGGTATTTACAGTGTTGATAGAAATAGGCATCGTCACAGACATCGCCAGCAGGCTCATTATAATCAGCAGGAAAATTATGCTGATTATTCCTATCGCCCAATCTGAAATCGGCTCCGAATTATTCGCCGGAGGTGTATAATCGATGGGGTAAATTGGTCTTGGTCGATTGATAATGGGGTTGGGGTTGGTGGTTGGTGGTGATTGTATTTTAGAAGTAAAGGGTTTGGGGTTGTTTGGTGTTGGTGGTTCGGGGCGTAGCGGATTAGTATCTGGAAAAGAAAGAGTGCGCGTAAGGTTAAAGTAGAAGTTATTTAGTCTGTACTTTATATTGATCGTTTATAAAATATAGTTGGTATTTTTGTATTTAAAATTGAAAGAAAAGGTTTCAAGAATTATAATTTGGCAAATTAGACTAGGGAGAAACAAAAGCGAGATCCGAATTGACACTTGAATTTATTTGTTTCCTCCGTGCTGTCACTATATGAGCCTATCTGTCCAGTAGAAATTATAATAAGGCTAAGTCAATATTTTGCAGCTTTAAATAATTTAATTAACTTTTAGCTATTTTATTAATTATTTATTTATCATTTATTTATTTACTCTAAACTTATTTATATGGTGGTATTTAGGTGAAAATAAATACATCATATAACGATTTTTAATAGTGTTTATAGTAATATGGTGACACTCGTCGTGATGCACACATTTATTAGTGTCATGAACCATTATACGCATTTATATAATGTTAAATTATAATTTTATATTTATAATAGCATAAAAATATGTATAATTTACAAACAATAATGTAATTAAAGTCGTACTTCAAATATGACATGATCGGTTTGTCATTGTGAATTATAGCATTTAACGACTTGAATCTTCATTAGAGAAATGAAGTAATTGCAAAATTCTATAAATTCGTTCACACACAGGATTATGCTAAACGCCTAAACAAATATTGTTTACTGATTATGTAAAAATTGTGTTTGAAGAACTCATGTAATTAAAATTAACATACATTAATTGACTGCTTGTATTTTTTTTTTACTTTTTCGCTGGCGATATAAAGTTGCGTTTATTTTTCTTTATTTTTAGTTTGCTCGTCAGTAGAGTCCCCCTCCATTTTTCATTTTTAGTTTGGTTGTCAGTAGAGTTTATGAATGCAAAATGATTTTCAAACGACTTCTTCACAAAATTACTACAAAAAATATTTCAGAATTATATTTACTACAAAAATAAATACAACGAAATAAGAGACTCTACTGATGAGCAATTTAATTTTGGAAGAACTTTCCTGAAAAATCGTTATAAAAAAGGACTCTACTGACAAGAAAACTGGTTTTCGCACACTTTTTAATAATTTCAATGAGAAAAAAGGACTCTACTGACGAGCAAAATGATAACTGATCGATTCTTTAAAAAATGAAACAAGAAAAGGGACTGTACTGATGAGCAATTTAATTTTTGAAGAACTTCCCTGAAAAGTCGATATAAAAAGGGACTCTACTAATAAGACAAATGATGTTCGCACACTTTTTAATAATTCCAATAAGAAAAAAGGACTCTACTGACGGGAAAAATGATTTCCAAGGTATTTCTGACAAATTTTAAGGAGGAAAAGGACTCTACTGACAATCGAACTGATTTTCTTACACTATTCGATAAATCCAATGAAAATAAAGGGACTCTACTGACGAGCAAAATAACTCCTGAATGATTCCTTGACAAATACAATAAAAAAAGAACTCTACTGACGAGCAAACTGATTTCCAAGGAATTTCTGATAAATTCTAAGAAGAAAAAGGGATCTACTGACAATCAAACTGATTTTCTTACACTATTCAATAAATCCAATGAGAAAAAAGGGACTCTACTGACGAGCAAAATAATTTCCGAAGGATTGTATATTTATTATTACCGTATATTCTTGCGCCATATGTGATAGCAGACTTGTAATTTTGATGGCAATTTTTTACTGATAATTTGAGTGTCAAAATCAACAATTAAATAAATATTTTGATGCAAAATTAATCTTGAATAAATATTTCGTTAAACAGTCCACATGGATTTAATTAGAGGTTAAGTGTGTTATAAATATTTTTAAGTGTCATAATAGATGGCGCAAGCATTTACTTAATGACATATGTTAATAATGAATATAAGAAACTTTTAATTGAATTGCGGACTATCTAAATGTTAATATTAAGATCTAAAACTTTCAGAGAATTTTTTTTAATTTATTTGGAAGCGTTTGAGACTTTGGGAGCAAAAATTCCTAAATGTCCATATTAAGGACCACCCTGATTTTTAATTTTCTTTGCTCTTAGATCTCAATGCTTTCAAAGTAATAAAAGAAAATCCTCTAAAAGTTTTAGCTCTTAATATTAACATTTAGACAGTCCGCAATTCAATTAGAAACAATTAAATTTTATATATATATATATATATATATATATATATATTTACCTGTTCATCTAATAAACATGAAGCACATTTTAAACTTGCACTCAGTACAAATATTAATAAGAATTTTAACTTCATTTTTTTAAATTAATTATTAAAGTAATTTAATTATAATATTATTCACATATACTTATTCATCAGATATATTTGTTTATTTATTTTTTATTATTTAATTTAGTTATTTATTTATTTTAACTTTAATTTAATTATTTTATTTTTCATTTATATTTATTTAATTTATATTTATTTTATTTATACTTATATATTTGTTTTTCAATTTATTTGTTCAAACATTTGTCCTTTTGTTTGTTTTTTAATTAATTAATTTATTACCTGCTATTTATTAATTTATTTAATAATTAATATATTTGTTTAATTGTTTAAGAATTTTTATTTATACATTAATTTTCTATTATAATAATTATTACTTTCATGTATTTAATTCAGCAAGTGTTATTATTATTTTAATTCTCAATTATTTTTTTTATTTAAAATATTTATTTAATTATTCAAATATTTATTCACACTCTTTACTATTTATTTATCAAATTAATTTTTTTTTCATAATAATTATTACTTTCATGTATCATAATTCATCAAGTGTTATTATTATTATTATTTTTATTATTTTTTCCAATGTTTATTCTGCACTTGTCAAGTGCGTTATGATAAAAAACACTTTGAATTTTGTTTAAAATGAAAATTTTTAAAGTTCACGTCACGTACTTTGACGTGACGGCACGTCCAGCAAATTGTCTTTGAAATTTGAAGGCAAATGCATGTTGACATACTTTTAATGATTTATACTTTATATATATATATATATATATATATATATATATATATATATCATTTCTTTAAAATCTCTTGTTTAGTTTGCTCGTCAGTAGAGTCACTTTTTTCTCATTGGAATTATTGAACAGTGTAAGAAAATTGTCTTACAAGTGTAAGAATAGTGTTTGTTAGTCAGTAGAGTCCCTTTTCTCCTTAGAATTTGTCAGAAATCCCTTGGAGATCAGTTTGCTCGTCAGTAGAGTCCCTTTTCTGGTTGCATCGTTCAAGGAATCGTTCAGAAGTTTATTTGCTCGTCAGTAGAGTCTCTTTTCTCGTTGCATTTGATTAAAGAATCTTTCAGAATTTGTTTTAACTCGTCAGTAGAGTCCTTTTTCTCGTTGCATTGTTCAAGGAATCGTTCAGGAGTTATTTTGCTTGTCAGTAGAGTCCTTTTTATGGTTTCAAGTGATTTCATGGAAATTTATGAGAGTACTTTTAAAAGAATAGTTTGCTTTCAGTAGGGTCCTTTTTACTCGTTTGAATTTTTAGGCAGTCTTTCGAATATTTTAAGAGTAAATATTGAAGAGTGCTTTTGAAAGAACTGTTTGCTCGTCAGTAGAGCCCATTTTCTTGTTTAAATTTGCTGGGAGTCCTTCAAAAATTTTTTGCTCGTCAGTAGAGTCCCTTCTCTTGTTTCATTTTTGAACAAAATTTTTGGTCGACAATAGAGTCCCTTTTCATGTTGCATTTTTCAAGAAGTCGTTCGGAATTATTTTACTCGCCAGTAGAGTCCTTTTTATCGGTGGAATTTGTAGAAAATCGTTTAGTAATCATTTTGCTCGTCAGTAAAGTTCCTTTTCTTGCTGCATTTTTGAAGAAAAAATTTTGATCGTCAGTAGAGTCCTTTCTATCGTTGCATTTCTCAAGACATTGTTAAAAAATTATTTTATTTGTCACTTTTCTAGTTAAAATTTACAAGACACTTTTCTGAATCACATTGTTTGTCCCTTTACATTTTAGGGAGTCGTTCGAAAATTATTTTTGCTCGTCAGTAGAGTCCTTTTATCGTTGAAATTTGTAGAAAGTCGTTTGGAAATCATTTTTCCATGAGTAGAGTCCATTTTTTTGCACTTTTTAGGGAAAATCAGTTTGTTTGTCCGTAGAATCCCTTTCCTTACTGCATTTATTAATAATTTTTTCAGATATTACTTTGCTCGTCAGTAGAGTCCCTTTTCTCCAAAGATAAAAAATATCACTCACATTTTATCTATGGATCAAGCAATCTAAATCTGAACAAAGTGAATTGGGTTTTTGTTTTGTTTTTTTTTTGCGATGACATAAATATCAAATTTTTAAATTTTTTAAATTATTTTTAAATTTCTGTTTTTGTATTTATTATTTTTTTGGGGGGCATAAAAATGCGGCAACAGCAAAAGGTGGCGCAGTTGGCGAAACAAGTTTTACGCTCGGTAAGATAATTTACACAACTGTTGAAAATTCAAAAAATTACCCAGGCTAAGCACAGTCTAAGCGCCACTCTGGTACAAATGTTTACCCAAGTGCGTTTAGACTGCTTACGTACCGGAGCGCTTTTCCAATTTGGACTATTGAAAAATGTGAAAATGCCGCCAAGCCAAGCACAGTATAAATGAAAACACACCGCACACAGAATTATTTACAAATGCTGTTTAGACTGTGACTAGAAGGGAGCACTTTTCCAATTTTGTGAAAATTAGGCAACAATATTTTTTTTTGAAATTGTATTCGAAATGAAATGACGATTGTTCTGGAGATAATTGATTTATGATTTACATTTACTCTACTGACGAGCAAATTAAATATAATCATAGAGGATGAAGAAAGGACTCTGCTGACAACCAAATTATAATTAAAACTTAGAAAACAAAATAAGGACTCTACTGATGAGCAATTGAATATCAACTTAGACGATGAAGAAAAGTCTTTACTGACGAGCAAATTAAATATAGACAAAAGATAAAAAAGGACTCTACTAATTAGCTAATTAAATTTTAACCTAAATTTAGGTAAAGTACTCTACTGACAATTAAATTGGATATAAAAATAGATGGCAAAAGACTCTACTGACGAGCAAAGAAATATCGACATGGAGAATAAAAAAGAACTCGACTGGCCTAAGTGGTAAAAATTGACGAGCAAATTAAATATCGACCTAAAAGACAAAAATAAAACTCTACTGACGATCAAATTAAGACTTTGGAAATTGTAAATAAAAACCTGAAACATTTGCTGCATTTGGACTCTTAGAAAGGAACACTACTGACGAGCAAAGTAATAATCACATGTTGAGGATCAGAGATCAATGACTTTTGGAAGAAATTAGCTCAAAAATTGCTCTTTATATATATATATATATATATATATATATATATATACGTATATTTAAAAAAATCTAAAACACCTGTTTCAAGTGATTTAGATGTGCAATAAAAATAATGCATATATATATAAAATTATTACATCTTATTTATTTTTCATAAAATATTTTTGTAATTTTGGATTAAAAATTCGAATAAAAAATTACCCATGCTAAGCACAGTCTAAGCGCCACTCTGGTACAAATTTTTTTGCAAGTGCGTTTAGATGTGACTATGCGGGAGCGTTTTTATAAATTTTGTGAAAATTATTGAAAAATGTGAAAATGCCGCCGAGATAAGCACAGTATAAGTGAAAATGTCGCACAGAATTATTTGCAAATGTGTTTAGACTGTGACTATACGGGAGCATTTTTTCAATTTTGTGTAAATTAGGAAACTTTTTTTTTTTTTGAAATTGAATTCGAAATGAAATGACGATTGTTAATTTTCTGGAGATGATAAATTGATTTATGATTCGCATTTGATTTGCTCAGATATAACAGGATAGCAAAAATAATGAAAGTTACAGTATTTGTAATAATATATTTGAAAACGTTTAAAATTTCTCTAATATTTTATTGCGGTACGGGAAGTTCCAGCAATTTGCCTTAAGGCACGATGCCGTACACCATTAGTTAATATTTGTATTTGTTATGATAACTGCATCATCGAAGATTTTGTTATCATAACATTTCTCCTTGCTTTTTTATATGTAAATACGCCTGCCTGATCGCACGACAAATAGTTAGACATTTTCACAGTTTCACTAACAAAAACGCATAAGATAGCGTTGCCATGACAATGTTATTATTTATTTTATTATTTCCAGAACCAGTTAGCACCATGGGATTACTCGAGGGTTCGCATTCGACAAGGATTTGTAGTAGGGGCCACTTTGGACAGACCAACAACCAAGGGAAAGTTCTTCAGCTTTTTCGGAATACCCTACACGGAATCCCCAACCGGATCGCTAAGGTTCAAAGTAAGTATTTAGCCGAAAAACAGTATTTTTCTAATATTTACCATTTACCT